CTGGTTAGTGAAAAGGAAAAAGAAAGGGAAGAAAGCAATGAAACCAAATAAGGGAAATAACATTACCTTCTACGTCCTCAGGTCGGATAATGAAAAGTGGGATTGGAGGAGGGTCGAATCCTTACCTTTCTAATTCCCAAGGCTTAAGGAGCTCAGAGTACCTCTCTGGATTACACTTGGCCAACTCCAACTTCACCCACTTATCCTCGGCGCTGAGTTTAGGTCGAATGCCTGAAAAAGGGGGAACACCAAAGATGCAGAGGTCAGGAAAGTAACCCATAAATCTTCATATCGCAGTTTAGTCAGGAAAGAACTCACCTAAGTTATCTGGGGCTGACCAGGCTCGAGGAATCCTAAGAGTGTCTGTTTTATCAGCGGGGTTGTATTCCCAGTTGACACCCCCAACGAAAAAGAAATTCTTCTTCCAGTCTTTGTGAGAACTCAGGAGGTGAGTGATAATCTGCCTAGACGGGGTCCGCCTAGAAACATATAGAAAGCCCTCAGTTAAGGTAAGCTTGACATTAAAAAGGTCCATGAGCAGAGAAATGGTGGGAGTCCCAAGCCCATACTTCTTAAAGAAAACTAAAAGACCCACTAAAACACCCTAAAAGTTAGGAGAAAGCTGAGCAGGGCAGACATTGAGGTGTTGCAGAACATTTTTGATGAAGGGATGTATTGGAAAACGAAGGTCATTATCGAAAGCGGCCACAAAGAAACAAACTCTTTTGTACACTTGGGCAACGTATGTGGTGAATTTATCCGGACACCAGGGCTGAACACCAGGGGAAAAACCAAAACGAGCCCTAAGAGCTTCCATGAGAATAGGATCCACCCCACTAGGACCCACGAGCTCAGCATGCCTGAAGGAAGCCCCCATACCAGTTGCACTGTTAGGAATCCCAACCTCACTCACCTTGCCCTTACCCTTGTCAGCATTTGGAGGTACAGGGGAGGAAGATGGGGGGAGTTCCTTGGAGTCCACATTGGTATCGATAGCCTCAACACCGGGGAAGTTGTCAATCTCATCACCTACATCCCCTAAATCAGAATCTCTCCCGGCAGACTTGTCGCCTAAGAGGGAAACAGAGGATGGAGTTGCTCCAGAGGAGGCAGACATGATTTGGCAAAGTGAAAGGCAAATCGAAAGAATTATAAAAAGAGGGAATACTAACTAAACACCCCCTGATAATCCTAGGGTCAGCACTGTACCTCCCAACAGTAAGGATTCGTACAATGGAGTTCCAATCCACAAAGCGGGGAAGAGGAGATAGGCAATAATCACGATTCCAAAAGAAAAAGAATCAAAAAACCCAGAAAAATAATAGCCATCTCGAAGTCGAGGGATCCAAAGTGAGGAAAGGCAAGAGAAAGAGAAAGGGGCAGAGGGAAGCGTACCTAGACAAGGAAGAGAGCAACAAACAGCAGTCAAGAAACAAAATTAGAGGAGAAGAGCAAAGAAGACCTTTGGATCGAACCCAAAAAAGCACAGTTTTGAGCAGAGAATAAGAGAATCGCGTGGAGGAAAGCCCAGAAATCACAGAGAGAAAGAGCCGGAGACAAAGGTGAACAGCGTAGAAGATGAACATGGAGTTTTGTGCAGTTTTTTAGCGGCTGGTTGAGCATTTAAAGCTTGAGTGACATGGGCTGAAACATGTGCGGGAATCGAGAAAGCCATGATTGCTGTAAACTGTCAAAAAACTCCCCCCACGTGCACCTCATATGCGGACTAAGGTCAGCTAGGTGCAGGTCTAGCCCAATGCGAAAGCAACTCAGCCCATGCCCAAGTAAGCTAGGGCCAAGGCTGGGGGGCAACTAATGATGCCTAAAGTAAATTCCAAGTGTTAGCTCAGGAGTTCAGCTCATACTGGGGGGTCAGTCATATTAACTGAGGTCAGGAGGCAACAGCTGAATGTCTCTTGAGGCAAGGCCACGGCTGGATATCCACAAGAGGTTCCTAATGCATTAGGAAGCTATAATCAAGGCACCAAATCTCAACCAACCAAGATCTTCTCCTAAAATTAAGGAAAAGCCTACAAAATAAGGGCAAAAAGCTCGGCCAAAATCCCACTGAATAGAGAACAGCCCTATAAATACCATGTAACACCCCAAAAGAAGAGGAAAGGACCCTAGAGGCAAAAACTAGTTATTGTACCCTTGGAATAATCATTATAAAAAGGCAAGGAGCAAGAGTCTCCATTAAATAGTGGATTAGCTGAGCTCCCGAATTAGTGAACCACTATACTTCTTCTGTGTTAATCCTCCCAGCCCCTAGAAAAACATTTCTTTCATTATCACACCACCATCACTGCAAAGCATAATTATGATTCATTACTCATACAATTCGGTTTATACCATCATTTTTAATTTAGCAATGCCTTTCCACCTTCGTCTCCACTCTCATTTTCATCCTAACATTGTCCATAAATTAGTCATTGGTGAGTTTAATAAATTATTTGAAAATTCTAAAATTTGAGTACGTAACTGATTTTTTAAACAATTTGAATTCAAAATAATTGGAAAAATAATTGTGGGAGTTGTTACATATAAGCCACGTGAGAGATTTTATTTGGAGAAAAGAAAATAAATATGTTGTCTATTAAGTGATTTACAAAAAATGTGAAAACTAAGAAAATTGATTAGAAAAAAAAAAAACTTCTTATAGTCTCTCTCTCTCTCTCTCTAATTTTATTGCTATAATAATGTTTGATAGAGAATGTGGATTTGCTTCTGTTCACACCGAGGCTTTCTGTTGACCGATGATATTGATGGTATTAGAGTAGTTAGTATATTTAGATTTAGGGATAACTTAGTCATTTGTTTTTCTTTTGCTCTATTATATAAATACCTCTTATATCTAATTTTTTTTTAACGTTGTTCTGACTAGTTATACCTCAATAAATAAATGACTAAACTACCTCTAAGCCTAAATATGCTAACTACTCTAACAAATGGCTGTGGAAAAAACAATGGTGAATACAAGAACAACTGTGGCTGACTCTGATGCTTGTGTTCATGGAATGAGCTGTAAATTTAGATATTTTGAATTCGAATTTTAATAATTTTTTAGAATTAAGTCATTAGAAATTTATCACTCGTCAATATCTTAATCTCGGAGTCGATTGACTGCCTTTAATTGGACTCGAGAAAGATTAGTTGAGGTACGCATAAGTTGGCCTAAACACTCATAACCATTGAAACAAAAAAAATAGAAAAAGAGAGAGAGAGATGGTTTAGTTTTCTCATTATTGATGATGAACCAATTATTCTTCGTGAGAACTCTAATTCTGGTGTCAACAATCTGTCTTTGACTAAACCGGAGAAGAAATTAATCGAAGTACACTTAAGGTGGTCTGAGCACCCTTCAACATTAAAAAAAAAATAGAGAATAGGGATGAGAGAGAGAGAGATGGTTTAGTTTAGTTTTCTCATTATCCATGATGAACCAATTGGTTTTTATTTTTAGTAAAACTTGATAATATATATTGAATAACAATTTTAATTCAAATAAAAATAAGGATAAGTGGATACTTGAGTGCAATTTACCCAAAAGATAGTGTTAAATGACCAAATTACCCTTACTTCTGGTCCACCTTCCTTTGTCTTTTATTTTTCTATTCTAATGCATTTAGTATGTAATCCCCACTTTTGATCACCCGCTTGGCATTCACCACTTACCCCTTTCATCCTTATGCCTAGTACAGGCAATGGGTGTAACTGTTTGCGTTGCATGGTGTCAAAATTTGTCTAATTCATATTCAATTAAAATAATTAAATTTGTATAACCAAATTCATATTATATATAAATCGTATTTGACAAATTTATATTGTATTTAGCCATCGTTCCATCTACTAGATGGGTATAACAAGTCCACAAATTGATGACCTGAGCATCCAAGCCCAAACCTGAACTCGCTAATTTTGCATTGTTTTTATGTCAAATTCGTGGATCATTTTTAAAAATTTTAAAAATTATCTTACCTACTTATAGCTATCAGTAATGTTATGCTGACCAAATTTTAGGATAAAATTTAGAGCTTAAATGACATGACAGAATATTATTGGAGGTTTTATTAGGGTCCAAATGATATGGTGTCAAATAAATAAGTCCAAGTCAACTACTATGTCATTTGGGTTCTAAATTTAATCCAAAAATTTGGCCAGTGTAGCATTACTCTATAACTATTGGCATCACAGTGAAATCAATGGTTAAGATTATCAAGTCTAATTTTTAAGTTTATTTTTAAATTCACGTAATAGGGTTACTCTTCCACGTAATTCAGTTGGTGAACTCGTTGGCCGGTTCAATGGCATGGAAAACGAGACACCCCAAAGCCAGACCGACATGAATTTGACTATGAAACAACTTGAGATCAATCAACAACTCAAATATTTTGAAAAGCAGGAACCCCACTGTACTAGTTGCAATGCTAACGAGCAAAGGCCCTCTGTTCTCTAACTCACAAAACGAAAAACTCGTGTTCTACATCCTATCGACTTGAAACAAGCGAAGCAAAGTAGGTTTGTCCGAGTGTGTTTACCCTAGACACGACCTGGGGTCAGGTCGATTCAGTGACCGCTTGCCTCAATTCTCTACCTTTACCAGATGCAGTCACCTAACATCGCGAACAACACGTGGGTCGACCCTCATCCCAAGCCCAAACTGACACTTTCATCCTAGGCTGCTTCTGGTGACACAACCCTCATCCCATAAAATGTAAGAAATTCAGACATTAACATGTCAAAATGAGGTTAAGAAACTCGGTCACTGTTTAGCTTTACAACCTCGAGATTAAGTGTGACAAAGAGCATACAAGTGCACCAAATATACATTTCAAGGAAAAATACAAACAAGTCAATGTAATATGATCATAACGTATGGTAAATGTACAGAACAACTTTAAATATTTCAGGTTTTCCGTTAATTTGTTTACGAAGGAACATAAAACAAAATGTAAAAAATATACTTATAAGGTCAAGGGAAAATACAGAGATATTAGTACCGTACATTCTGACTGTGAAGCAACTCAACCAGAGCAGCAACTAAACCTTTACCCTCAACAGAGATGTCCAGACCAGGTTCCTCGATCTTCCTCTTTAGAAGTTTGTCAAGCTCCTCTCGCAATTTCTGCAAAATATCATTGCAAAATCAACCCTTCATTATCGTCCCGTTGGTTTCTAAATAGTTTTCTTAATAACTTAAAGTAAACAAAAGGCAGAAGGAAATGTTGGAGACAATGAAAGAAAGAGAAACTCCCAAGATATATCACCCTTATTAGTTATTAACTCCAACACACTCTTTGATGCAGAGAAATGCAGGTACCCTCCAAGCATTTCAATACCGTCTCCAGTTCATAGTCGGATATTTTTGTTGAATCTCGAATGTAAATGTCAGTAGTTTTCACCATCTCACTGTAAACCATGTAAGGAAGAGGGAAAAGAAAAACTCCAGCATTCACAGATGCCGGGTGGATATCGACTTTTCCAACTTCCTTGGTATACAATGCTGCCCGCTTCCCTCTTCTTTTGCATTGCACAACATTTGGGTAGAGCCCAGCACAAAGGATAGTAGTCACCATCTCCAAATCATTGCTATATTGGTTATAAACCTGCACATGTTAGGTTCTAGTCCATGATCATGTTAATGAACAAATTTCTACAAACCATGAATGAACCTGCAAATTTCGAAGTAAAGACCTTGAATGAACCAAATCGGTAGAGTTCTTGCTGCAAGTAAGCACTTGTTTAGCTCGTAGCTTGTCGATTCATATCTCATTCAGTGTATAATTGGTCAATATTGCATTTGCATCCCACTTTAGTCGTGTTGTATCCTGTGATCCTTTTCAACATCGCCATATTAGCACTGCATCAATTGGTCTTTTTTTTTTTTTTTGGTCCCGTTTTTCAATTATATTCGGCATTACCCTCAGTACCATTCATCTCTAACTCTCCGTCACTGCCCTGACAAAGTACACAAGTAAAGCACTCTGCCTCTTTTAAGGTTTGAAGGCCAGTTGTTGAATGGTTTGAGGCTTTGGGCTTCCAATCTTTCAGCAGTGCATATTTTGGTACATTAAAGAATTTGGGCCGAACGCAGCTGGGCCTGTAGGTTGAAAGCTTTGCAAAAATTTACCAGCCTAGAAATGTTGTTATTCTTGCAGAGTGTATGGGGGTTCTTTTTTTTTTTTTCCCTTCTAATTTTCTAGTCCAATGGTCGTGGGTGTCAATTTAATATAATAACAGAAAGAGACACGAATTCGAAAATGACATAACTATTTAACATGAATAATAAATAAACTAAGTCTGCACTAAACGTGAACAACCCCTTAAAACTTTTTTGTAAGGAGGTGTTTTATGTATTCTTTTAGAACTAAAATGCTTTTGATTAATAGGAACATGACATGAATCCAAAATGTCACAGCATAATTTTAACAACGAGTAACCCTGTAATTGATAAAGAAAATATTGCATATATATATATATAATATATAAAATTCGAGCGTCCAAAAAATCGATCACACTATATTAAAATTTTTTAAAATATATTAACTACAAATTAATCAAATATTAAATGATTAAATATGTGATAGAAATGAGTAATGTAATTTGACGTTTGAGTCTGACAAAAGAATGATGAGTGAGATAAGTGATTAGTGATAGTTTTGAAGGGAAAAATATGACTGCGATAAAATTCAAACACACTTCTGTTTTATTATATATATAAGATTAGAAAGTGTTTTTTTTTGTTTTTTTTGTTTTCGTAAAAAAGGGTGGGGGCAAGGAGATTAAATCAATAGACCTCATTGGTTGGATTTTGAGGTCCCTGACCATGTCTATTATTTTTCTTTAGAACAAATCTAGTTAAGTTAGTATAACAGTCAACTATGGAGCACCTATGTGGATTTTAAGACTCGAACCTCCAACCTCAATGAAAAAAATTCAGTCGGTACCTCACATAAGGGTGCAACTCAAGTGGGTTTGGGCAGGTTGAGAGATCAACTTTAAGTATATAATGTTCAACCCTAACCTTAACCCGAGTATTCTCTAAGTGAAATTCGGCGGGCTCGGATTAAATTAAGGTTACTTAATCGGACTGATTTCAGATAAAAAATAAGGTTGAGTTCGGATTACTTAATTCAGGTTAATAAAAAAGAGCGGAGTAACGAGTAAGAGAAGGAGACTAAAAGTTTGAGACCAGATGAGAATCGAGTGACGAGTGAGACAGAGATCTGAGAGTGATAGAAGCGCAGGGCTGAAAACTTAAAGTGAAGTAAAAGTCTGGACTCTGAAGACTGAAAATAAATACTAACCCTAATTAAAAATATTTATATATTTATGTATATTCTAGTTCAACACTATTTTAATATTCGGTTTGAATCTGACAATTCGAGGTCTCAGCTTGAGGCTTGTTCGAATTCAATTCAAGTTGAGATTTTTTTGTCCAAACTCAATCTAAGTATTAAAAATTCTAATCCAATTTTTTTTTTTAAGTTGAATTCAGAATAACTAGCCCAGTTTACATCCGTAACCTCACTGGACTACCCCATTTGGTGGTAGCTTATTTTAGGCCTTAAGATATCGGTGGCTTACTGATTCCCAAAGATCCCTTTCTTTCGTTTTCCATTGCTTCTTTTCCCAACCCCTTTCTTCAACTTGGAGTTTTTGAGGGGTCTGTTTCCCATCAATCAAATGTTCTCTCCATGCTTTATTCCTCTCACTTTTTTATTTTGTCTCTTTCACCAACGATAAAAAAAAGAAGCCCGAACGAAAAGAAAACAAAAGCAAAGATTTTAAAGATAAACGTCTAAAAGATCATTTTAGCTCCTCAAAAGAACTTCAAAAAATATAAAATACAGCAAGGGTCCCTAAACTTAATACAAAAGCAAAACTTTTTGGATCTTCCCGTAGGGGTTAGGGTTAGGGTTAGGGTTAGGCTTACAACCCATTTCTTTGACATGAGAGAGGATATCCTTTGCTTCTTGGCTTTGCTTCAAGATGCTTATCCCATTGTTAGGTCCCCCAACCTTGTCTTCTTCTCTCCATGATTATCAACAAAGAATTCCAATGTGACCTCCAGGACCTGCCCTATCCAATAGCATGGGCTAGGACACATAGGTGGCCAAATTTTATCGAACCTAAAACGAGTATATCTTTTCTCCTCTAGGTATATATTGAACTAATTCATCCATTTACTCCCAAAATTATTTTTTAATATGTTCCTCTATCTCTACTTTAGGTACATAAGCGCTAATCACATTAATTATATTATCTCTGACAACAAATTTGATAAATATAATCTTATATCATTTTCTTGTAACTGCTACTACGCTATCTTTTAGACCTTTATCTACAACTATTCCTACTCCATTACTTCGTTTATCTTTTTCTGTATAGTAAAACTTAAACAAACGTCATATTTGCTAGTTTTTTTTGACAGTCTATGGTCTTTTATTGGGATAAATGGTAGATTGGTCGTGGTGTTGCTGATGGTCATGGTCATGGTCACAGTAAGAATGCGTATTTATGCTTTCGGATCGAGTAATATTATGTTTATTAAATTATTTATTAAAATTTATATTCCAAATTAATATAAGCCGTTACATCAGTGGGATCCACTAATTTTTTCTGTGTATTAAATATATAAATTTTAACACATCATTTAAGATACAATATTTAATAAATAAATTTGAAAAACACAATTTTATCCTGGGGTTTTCCTCATGGGTTAGTTTTGGTGTGAGACGATGATAAGTTTGGTGTTGACAGTTAAATGCTATCGACTTTCTCTCTCTCTCTCCCCCCCCCCCCCCCCCCCCCCCCCCCGGGGTTCCCATCAGTCTCCCCTTCATAACCATTAAAAGACAACTGTGTGTGGCCCGTGCACTAAGCCATCGTTATTGACAAGGCGTAGCCACCCTTTGGGCTAGGGTGGGTACATGCCCCCTTAATTTTTTTTTATTCATATTAATTATGTATTTTTTAAAATAAAAATTAGACATATTTAATTGTGTTTATCTTAATATTGTATTTTGGTGGCATTGACTTGAATAGATCCCTACTTAATGATTATTAATTTTTTGAACAATGTTATTGAAACATAATTTAAAAACCTAAAACATTGTGATATTAAGTATAATAGTGAATTTTACTATTTAATAAACTTTACTGTCTATCCAACGGTCACAGATCATTGGGTCTCCATTAATTAAATCTCAAATTAGGTACAACTAATATAATTGTTAACTTTTAGACATGTCCGAATATGTTTTGAACATATATTGATGATATTTTATAATTTTTTTTTAAATTATAGGATTATTTCGTTATTGTATAAAAATGTGTGTCGTTATGTAATAAACTATAGGATCATAAATAGAAGATTGTTACCCCGTTTTTATATATAAAAGAAATATTATTGATAAAATTAATTTGTAACTCTTTTAAATAATAAAAATATATCAGGTCAATTATAAGTAATAATAATTAATTGTATTCTCGATAAGAAGTTTTAATTATTTTTTTTTGTTTATAAGTATATCAATTTTTAATCTTTTATGTTTAAAAAATATTAAATACAATTTTAATAAATATAAATTTATTAACTTTTACGGTCTAAAAAAAAATTAAAATATGTTAATGAGCGCATCCTAAAAAAAATGTATGGCTTCCCCCCAGGTTGTTGGTGGTGGTGCTTCTTGGATTTGCACCATGGGTGGCTACTAGTTGGGGTCGGGGCTAGCGTGAAGGTGGGGGGCCAATGGTGCCATGGGTTTTGCGTGTATATTGAGGGTTGATGGTGGTTGCTTTCTGTAGTTCAGGTGAGTTTGAAGTGGGGCTAGTGGCGGCTCGTTGTAATTACAAGTTTTAAAATATGACTCGATCTATTAACATCATATAAAATTAAAAAATTTAAGTTTTCTTTAAATCACTCATTCTGTAAACAAGTGGATCCGACACACAAAAGTAATAATAAAAATTATAAAAATGCGTTATTAAAATAAAGATCTAAATTTAGGGGTCACTAGTGTATTTTATTATTCTTTCCATCGGGCGCTTAACTGCTACGCAATTAAAAGCGGAGGAGGACAGCACTACAGGGTAAAAGCAAGATATTCCCCAAACGGGCGAAAAGTTATGGTACCGTCAGTAGTATTGTATTAAAAATAATAATTTCTTAAAATTAAGTTATAATATTTTTAAAATTTAAGTTATCATTTTAAAATACATGATTAACTATAAAAGATTGAGATAAATAGCAAGAGTTCATAATTGATTATATATATATGTGATTAATCTTGGTCTTTCAGCAATTATAATTTTTTTTTAAAATTATAATTTTATCATAAAAAATTATAATCAACATAATTTTGTTTTTTTTTTATACCCTACACATACCCTAAAAAGAGATGGAAAAAAAAAACACTTTAAAGTGGGTACTAGAATGAGAGATTCAAGTCTCAAAGATGATGTTGCAGGGACTTTACCAGTACAAAATGGCAGAAAAGAATCAGCTCAAATGTCAGTGCAAAAAAGCAAAACTTTTTGGATCTTTCCGCGTGGGTTAAGATTAGAGTTAGAA